GTATTCATTTCTTTAATGTACATAAATATATAACTTTACTTTAAAAGGAATTGTAGGATCATCATTTAGATCCACATCAGATTATGAGCTTAAACAAAATTCATATGCTGAGATCGAACTTTTAGATATACAGTGGGGTATGCTATAACGAATCTAATTGGTTCTAGAACCTTGTTCGTTATAGCATTCGTTCGTTATAGGATTAATCCGTTCCAGGCCCCCAAATACAACCACTTAACACTGAAAAATATAATATAAAATTGTAAAAATTGTAAAAAAGTGCATAAATATGCATCTAAACCCCTGAAATAAAGAATATCATTAATACTTGTAATAAAAAAACAATAAATTAGTAAAAAAAAAAAAAATTTAAATGTTCATTGTAGGAGTTTCGTTCGTTATAGCATTCTCCATTTTATAGGTAAAACCGTTCGTTATAGGAATATTCGTAGTAGGATCCGTTCGTTATAGCATACCCCACTGTACATGTAAATGGTGTTTTCTAGTTAATATCTTGAATTCTTAATAAATTTATTTTTCTTTTGATTGAAACTTTGAAAGTCAAGCCTATCATCTTTTTGTATTTCTTAAATATCGTCCAGATCATTAATAAAGCTGTAGCAGTATAGCCACGGTGTTTTACTTTTTACCTATGCAGGTTACAACATACAAATTACAATTAGGATGGTAGAAATAGTTGTTACAAATAGGCCAAGGAGTCGGAGTCGGAAGCATAAAAATTTGAGGAGTCGGAGTCGGAGTCGAAGGTTTTGTCTTCGACTCCACAGCCCTGGGGTTTTTACTTCATTTACCAGTGTGGCCGTTACACTTATGGAATATCGTCTACGATCTCACCTCTCATTATTTATTACTGTATTATTTACTTTAATATTGTAAGTACTGTACATTATATAACTATTTATATTTGCACAATAATTATAAATATAATATTGTATATGACAGCCAAGGCAACTTTTTGAACCACTCAGTTATTTCATATTCATTCCAAATTCAAATCGTTCAATTAATTTTTTGAGAAACATACGAATTAAACCGAAGTACAAATTACAGCGATCTTATTCAATGAAAGTCCAAAAATTCATCGTTAAAAATATTCCAAGTCCAAAAATTCATCATTTAAAATATTTAAGTCTAAAAATTCATCATTTAAAATATTCCAAGTCCAAAAATTCATCGTTTAAAGTATTCTAAGTCCAAAAATTCATTGTTTAAAAATATTCTAAGTCCAAAAATGGCCAAAATTATTCCTGGGCATATTTTGAGTAATAAATTTTTGTGTGGTTTTAGAGGTAAAACATTTGTGCCATTCTTACGAGCTCCAGCTTGGCATCTGTGTATTATAAGGCATAACGGACTACCTGGACGTGGGGAGAGTAACTCACTGGGCCCCTACTGAGTTACTCTTCCCACGGCCAGGTATTCCATTATGCTTGTATTTTTTTATATTATTGGTGAATGATAATTTGAAGGCCTTCCTCCGGAGACGCTTCCGATTATCTTTTACCAAATTTTTTCAACGTTAGTCCTGGCAATGGCAAACTCAAAAAACACTTAAGGGTAAAAAAAGGGAAATTTTTTTGCTCAAATTTTGCAATTTTTAGCCATTTTTTCATAAAAAAAATGCCAATTTTTTCATATTTTTAGCTATTTTTTCATATTTTTAGCTATTTTTTCATATTTTTAGCTATTTTTTTCAGGTTTTTAGGTTATTTTAGTTATTTTTTTTATTTTATATATTTTATTTATATATTTTTATTTATATATTTTATTTATATATATTTTTTATTAATATATATTTTATTTTATATTTTTTTATTTAATTATATTTTATTTATTTATATATTTTTTATTTATATATTTTATTTATATATATTTTTTTATATTTTATATTTTTTTATTTATATATACAGTATATATATATATATATTTATATATTGTTTATTTTTCAAGTTTATATATATTTTTCATTTGTATATTATATTTGTATATTATGAATTAAGATATTTTTTCAAGTATTACATTAAATTATTTTGCTTCAAAATCTGAAGCTGAACTTAGTCAATTTTCTGTAAAAGTTGAAAATATTGTAAATGCTGGAAAAGGTTAATAAAGACGTAATGACATTTAGACATTTATTAATGGAAACTTAATGGCTCTATAAATTTGCAGGCCAGGGCAGCAAGCACAGAGCAGTCCAGGGGAGCGGTAGTCCAGGGCAGCAGCACACACAGAGCAGAGCCGTCTAGGACAGCAGCATGCACAGAGCAGAGCCGTCCAGGGGAGCGGTAGTCCAGGGCAGCAGCACACACGGAGCAGAGCCGTCTAGGACAGCAGCACACACACAGCAGAGCCGTCCAGGGCAGCAGCCAGCAAGCACAGAGCAGAGCCGTCCAGGGCAGCAGCCAGCAAGCAAGCAAGCACAGAGCAGAGCCGTCCAGGGCAGCAGCCAGCAAGCAAGCACAGAGCAGAGCCGTCTAGGGCAGCAGCCAGCAAGCAAGCACAGAGCAGAGCCGTTAGGGGGCAGGGAAAAAACACTTTTATTTGAGTTGCAGGCTGCACTTTTCAGGCATCGTTTGTATGGCTGTAACAAACACCTGTGCAAAATTTCATGCCATTTCATGCATACTTACCCTGCCGCATCGCGAACGACTTTTTGTCAACTTTAAGTGTATACCAAAAATTAGGTGTCATTTAATGTTTTCCAGGATAATGATAAATTTTACATGGGTGACATCGATTTAATTCACATGTTATTTTACAGGTACACCGTATAGAAAATCATTACAAGTTCATATTGAAATTCTTTTTTGTGCGGAACCTTGGCATCATTTTCCTAGACAATAATCTTTGCCTAATATATCCATCTCTCGATTCGTATCCCGTCACTTCAGTGCAAGCTTCAGTCATCACTTTTATGCCTCTCTCGACCGCCTGAGTGCTGTTTGGCCACTTGGGCACCACTAATGGTGTCTCAAGAATGTCATTAACCTGTAGATTTGACAGAGAAGCAATGTAAGGAGGCTCAGTCTTGAGTTCATTCCTCCAGTTAATCATGGAATGATAGTTTTTTGCTTGCCACTTTAGTTTCGGAGTCACCACCTTTCTCATGTTGACTACAGGAGGCACATCCTCATTCCCATCTCCATCTTTACCCTCCTCATCAGTATAGTTTAACAAATTCTCGTCAACAGCAGCATCAGAATCTTCCTCCTCCTCTTCAGATCTGCCAGTGCATTCTTCCTTTTGCTGATTCTCCTCTCTAATTTTTCTTATCATTGAGACAGCTTTTTCTCTAACAGTCATGTCCTCATCTGCACACATACCAAGAAGAAGTTGATCTGTGTGGGCGAAGTATGCATTTCTCTGGACAGCCTTCTTCACTATCGTCTCCTCCTCACTATTCAGGTGTTTCATATATAGCAGGGACTGGAATACGTTCCTTGAGCCGTGTGTTACGTAAGGGTGTATCTTGATGTAAAACCACATTGGAGCACTGAACTTTATTATTGTAATGACAATTCTTTTCAACTCATGGCTGGGTCTTGATGTTGCTACATACAGCCTGAGGATTCTACTCCATAAGGTGTTCCACCTTGACACACAGGGAGGACCTGGCTCAATAGCAGCCAAGTCATCTTCAACAACACCTGTGATAACTCCTTTACAAATCCTATACAGGTATTTCTGATCCCAGGACAGATCTTTCTCCACTTCATCATTAAACACAGGGAAATCAGGGAAACTGACTGGCTGGAAGGCGACAACTGGAAGCTCAGACAAAGACTCCTTGATCTGCTTTCCAATGGGACCACGCCAATGCTCAGGACCACTTGGTTTACCATCATAGTGATAAAAAACTGTGCGGAAAGGCAGCTCATTTCCGTGAAGCTGACATATGAAATAATGGAGCGGGTGACCAAGTAACATTTCAAGATGATGAATGACTCCATTTTCTGATCCTACATTTACATTGGTTCCATCACAACCAACACACATAATGGGCTGCTGGGTTAGATTTTTCTCCACCAGAAACTCGTGAATAGTTTTGGCAATCTGCTTTCCGTGTCCAGTCTTGGGAGTCACATGTGTGAGATATTCATTGCCAGGCTGATGACATAATGATCTTTCACCATCATCCTCGAACTCCATTTCTCGGTCTTCTCATTCTTTATCATCACACGAGTGGCGGTCTTCTTACCATCAAAATAGAGTGACGTCAAATTATCTAAACTAGCCATCTCAATTTCTTGCCTCTTAAATCGGTATTTTTGTCTCGCATCCCGCAGCTTATGTGGTCCAATAACCTGACTCTTGTCATCCTTTGTGATAATGCCATAGTCAGTTAAGGTGGCAGTAGCAATGGCAGCTCCAGCATAATCACTAATCAAGTATCGGTCACAAGCGGCAGCCAGTGTAGGGAGTCTTGTCCGGTTCTGTGAACTGGTGTCTGTCAGAGCCCTTGGATCAGGGACAAAATCAGCATCAGTATTGACGAGAGGAATATCTCTTGAATCATCTGCTTAACGGAAACTATTTGAATAATTTCAAGTGCGCCAACTTACCCAGGTCTCCCCTACATTACAGTACAGTAACACAACATTGAGAAATGAAATGAGAAAAGGCTGATAATCAATATAGACATAGCACCATACTCATCTGCAACAAGACAACTTAAATGAAATAAGAGATATGAAAAAAAAGTTGATAAACACTGAACAGAATATTGCACCGCCACAGCGGCTGTTTGGCTAGTACTGTAGGTAAATTTAAAAATTTCATTAGAAAATGCGGCAGACTAAACCTCGACATATCAGCTTCAAATTTGGCATGGAGTCTTAGACATGTATAAGGAACAATGCCTGAAGAGTGCAGCTTTGAGCAAAATTTCACTGCCCCCTAAGAGCCGTACAGGGAAGTCCAAGGCAGTAACCAGTAAGCACAGTCTAGGGCAGCACGGCACTCCAGTGTTCAGAACAACATTTCTATACAAAATAAAATGTAAAATTAATATTCAAATTTTTTAACCATAAAAATGTTTTAAATATAGTAATGACAAAATGAATTGTAGTGTTTTAGACAAAATTCCTTAACACTTGACAGAACCAAATTTATAAACTCAATAGAAAAATAAGAATTTTTGTTAATTTGAATTTTTCACCAAATGATCCTTGAGAACAAGTGTCTAGGGAATATTATCAGTAACTGTACAGCAACTTAACCTAAGTGTACAAGTTATGGTTCATATTAACTAAACTATAAAAACCAAAAACCTTTCATTACAAAACTTACCCACAAGTGAGTTTAGTTTAACCATAATAGTTATTGATGTTTAACTACAATATTTCCTGTATCTTTGGTTCATAGTTTTGTTAATATATTTTAAATGTTTTCTTTCAATGACTTGACCCAGAACTTATTGATTTGTGATGAATATTTTTACTTTCCACTAACTTTACGTCAATGAATTCCTCGAGTGGGTCAGTCACAGGTCTGGTACAGTATTACAAGTGAATGTTGCTAAGAGTAATTTATTATTTACTAAACATACTCATCTTGTAGGTAACTTTATGTACTTTACTGAATTAATTAAAGTCAAGCATAAACATGACCAATAATTATTTCTGGTGTTATAAATTTGATGTATTAAACGATTGGTTACGGCCAGAGTCCAGTTTTGGGGCTTTTAACTTTGGTCAATTATTATGATATTCCTGTCATCAATAAAGGATCATAGGTACAGTCAGGATCAAAAGTGTTGAACACTTGGCAATATCTGTCATCTACTTGAGTTATATGATTGGGATATACTGTACTAATAACACAACAGTACTATCATATTATGCCTGAACCACAAAATAGGATTAAACTCTACTTAATACCAAAGATTTTCAGTACTGACATGCCAAATACTGTCAAATGTTCAGCACTTTTGACCAAGACTGTACATCAGTTCTAGCCCCATAATCCCCTTTCAATATTCTCGATCCTTTACACATTTTCTCTTATGTATATAAATTTAAGTATAATTTCTCCATTACTTTCTATTTTGTCTTGAAATTTATAGCACCAAGAAATCTAGTATGGTCATTGAATATCCCAGAGCAATTTGTTTGCCTTTGGTTTTAAGGATAAATTGGCAGAGAAATTCCAATCAGTGTTGGAAAAGTTCATTTTGACACAGGACGATAAAGTAAACTTTACTCCCCTGTAAGTGATCATTCCGAGGCAATTTTATATGTAGTATCTTGTTTTTTGTATATTTTTACATCAACTGAACTTGTTATATTCTTTACCTGAGGTAGAGAGGAGGGGTGGATGGCTGGGTCTGGGCTGTATCACCTGCTTCCTTTAGTTGTGTTGTGAATCACTTGCCATCCTGATATTGGAGAAGAGAAGCCTAGTACAGCAGTACAAGTGAGGCAAGATGTGTGGTACAGCAGAGTGCACACCTCTCCTTGCCAAGGTCCAGAACCTACTGGAAGTAAAGTCAAGTTATTATCTATAAAAAGTTTCAATAACATATTTTCACAATACTAATTTATCCTAATACAGTATTGTATAACATGACCCTAAACTGAAGGTTTTATCCTCTATGGAAGTACCACATTAATTCACTTAGTCAAGTACAGTAATTGAAGAATACATTAGTGATGCACCGTTAATAACCAGATTCAAAACACTCCCAATAATCTGCTGCCAGAGTTAATGCTATAATTTAGGTAAATTTTATCATGCAGGTAAAACAAGTCACTATATCGTCTCACCACCAAAGCCAGACTAAAAACAAAGTATCGGCCAAATACAGTATTTAAATAAAACAAACTTGCCGTTAGTCTGTTCGTCAATGTTAAATAACCCAGCCCTCGTCTTGTGTTGGTTAACCAGCCAAGGTGCCCGGGAAAGTCCTTACTATTGATGAGAAAATGAAAGCAATAAGCGTTGGGTCAGAGGAGCATCGAGACAACAGATAAACCAGACCAAGACCAGAAAATATTAACTTGCGGTGTTACTAAATTAATATTTATTTATTTATTTATTATTGATGTTAGTCTCTCCTCGTGACGGCCATAATTGTTGTATTATCCTCAAGTGGTCATCAGCTTAATGTTTACTTGTACAGAGATGGTGGAAAAGACACGCATTTCTAAGCAACAGTGGCTTTATTCTATATTTAAGACTTATTTTGGAACATTTATTCATTATTTACTCATTCTTTAATAAAACAGGATTTAAATCATGTTATTTATCATTTTGACTAAATTTGTTATAAAAACTCCTCTCCAGCCTCAACAACCTATGTCGTTTATTCTAAGAGTTATGATAATACTGTAGCAGGTCGTTCTTAGTTCTAATTTGGGTAATATTGGTCAATAAAATATCGAATGTACCTTACCGATGCTACAGTATGTAAAACAATCTTTCTCGTCAGTGACAGTCTTTACCAGATTATTTTTCTCTTCACATTAAACAAAAGCTACTTTGTCTGGCCTGTTAATGTATCCATTACCTTACAATGAAGTGCTATAGACAGACTTCCACAGAGGACACTGCCATGTTATCCAATAAAACATTATGAGCGGCAGCCAAGTGTGACCTTCCCATAATAAGTGAACGGATTATAGTAACTGGTTTCCGTAATTACTGTATTTTGCCGATAATAAAAATGCTCGAGTAATTTATTAACCCAAAACAGCAAAATAGCATCAACTAATACTTTGTTTACAGATACTGATTATTCAGCAAAATATTGATATTATCTGTAGCTGATATCAATTCATTGGTGCATCCCAAGTATTGTACAGTACAAATACTCTATTGATATTTACAGTGGTCCCTCGGTTAACGAGTTACCTCCCATAAGATTCTTAAATTCGGTTAACGAGCAACCCCTCGGGTTAACGAGTTTCTTACGAGCCGACTTCGACAAGTTTTGGCTTGCACTGGGCGGTCAACCAGCTGTAGTATTAGTCCGCCAATACATTAATAGGTTCTAGGGCTTAAATTCCTTACTATTTTAGTAAATATCAAGAAGTTTATACCATTCAATAATTTTAAAAGTTTAATATTAATTTTTTTTAGTCATTTTAACAATTATTGAACATAATTGAAAGTAAAGTGACTAGTTTAATGTGCGGCATCCAGCCTCTTAACACAGCAAGCGGGCATCAGTCTCTCTGTTTTCACTGGAGGGAACATCTTGCTTGAGACTCTTCAACTAAATGCTTTTTTTCTGCATTTCCAAGCAAATTATTGGTCATTTTGAAATTTATTTTACAGATTGATAATATATAGCGCAGTGCAGTGTTATTTTAAAGAAAATATTCTTTATTTACAACGAGTTTAACTTTAAACGCACGTGTTGACATTGTTTGAATCCAGCATGGGGCCTAAGAGATCAAGAAAAGCAATTTCAATCCAAACCAAGCAGGAAAAAAAAACACTAACAAGGCATTAGAACAAATGCGCTATGCAAAGAATATGGCATGTCGACAATAGAAAACGGGAAATTTGTATCATAAAAACTGGGAAATATCTACTTTCCGGGAAAGTTGGTTATCTACTTTCCCGAAAAGTAGATAGATTTTCTACTTTTCGGGAAAGTAGATTATCGACTTTTCGGGGAAGTAGATTTTCGAATTTTGGGGGAAATATTACCTAATTTTGCGAAGTAGATAATCATAGAAAACGGGAAATTTGTATCATAAAAAATGGGAAATATCTACTTTCCGGGAAAGTTGGTTATCTACTTTCCCGAAAAGTAGATAGATTTTCTACTTTTTGGGAAAGTAGATTATCGACTTTTCGGGGAAGTAGATTTTCGAATTTTGGGGGAAATATTATCTAATTTTGCTAAGAAGATTATCATAGAAAACGGGAAATTTGTATCATAAAAAATGGGAAATATCTACTTTCCTGGAAAGTTGGTTATCTACTTTCCCGAAAAGTAGATAGCTTTTCTACTTTTCGGGAAAGTAGATTATCGACTTTTCGGGGAAGTAGATTTTCGAATTTTGGGGGAAATATTATCTAATTTTGCTAAGAAGATTATCATAGAAAACGGGAAATTTGTATCATAAAAAATGTGAAATATCTACTTTCCTGGAAAGTTGGTTATCTACTTTCCCGAAAAGTAGATAGCTTTTCTACTTTTCGGGAAAGTAGATTATCGACTTTTCGGGGAAGTAGATTTTCGAATTTTGGGGGAAATATTACCTAATTTTGCGAAGTAGATTATCATAGAAAACGGGAAATTTCTACTTTCCGGGAAAGTTGGTTATCTACTTTCCCGAAAAGTAGACAGATTTTCTACTTTTCGGGAAAGTAGATTATCGAATTTTGGGGGAAATATTACCTAATTTTGCGAAGTAGATAATCATAGAAAACGGGAAATTTGTATCATAAAAAATGGGAAATATCTACTTTCCGGGAAAGTTGGTTATCTACTTTCCCGAAAAGTAGATAGATTTTCTACTTTTTGGGAAAGTAGATTATCGACTTTTCGGGGAAGTAGATTTTCGAATTTTGGGGGAAATATTATCTAATTTTGCTAAGAAGATTATCATAGAAAACGGGAAATTTGTAACATAAAAAACGGGAAATATCTACTTTCCGGGAAAGTTGGTTATCTACTTTCCCGAAAAGTTGACAGATTTTCTACTTTTCGGGAAAGTAGATTATGGCCTTTTCGGGGAAGTAGATTTTCGAATTTTGGGGGAAATATTACCTAATTTAGCGAAGTAGATTATCATAGAAAACGGGAAATTTGTATCATAAAAAACGGGAAATATCTACTTTCCGGGAAAGTTGGTTATCTACTTTCCTGAAAAGTATACAGATTTTCTACTTTTCGGGAAAGTAGATTATCGACTTTTCGGGAAGTAGATTTTCGAATTTTGGGGGAAATATTACCTAATTTTGCGAAGTAGATTATCATAGAAAACGGGAAATTTGTATCATAAAAAATGGGAAATATCTACTTTCCGGGAAAGTTGGTTATCTACTTTCCCGAAAAGTAGATAGATTTTCTACTTTTCGGGAAAGTAGATTATCGACTTTTCGGGGAAGTAGATTTTCGAATTTTGGGGAAATATTACCTAATTTTGCGAAGTAGATTATCATAGAAAACGGGAAATTTGTATCATAAAAAATGGGAAATATCTACTTTCCGGGAAAGTTGGTTATCTACTTTCCCGAAAAGTAGATAGATTTTCTACTTTTCGGGAAAGTAGATTATCGACTTTTCGGGGAAGTAGATTTTCGAATTTTGGGGGAAATATTACCTAATTTAGCGAAGTAGATTATCATAGAAAACGGGAAATTTGTATCATAAAAAATGGAAAATATCTACTTTCCGGGAAAGTTGGTTATCTACTTTCCTGAAAAGTAGACAGATTTTCTACTTTTCGGGAAAGTAGATTATCGACTTTTCGGGAAGTAGATTTTCGAATTTTGGGGGAAATATTACCTAATTTTGCGAAGTAGATTATCATAGAAAACGGGAAATTTGTATCATAGAAAATGGGAAATATCTACTTTCCGGGAAAGTTGGTTATCTACTTTCCCGAAAAGTAGATTTTTCTACTTTTCGGGAAAGTAGATTATCGACTTTTCGGGGAAGTAGATTTTCGAATTTTGGAGAAATATTACCTAATTTTGCGAAGTAGATTATCATAGAAAACGGGAAATTTGTATCATAAAAGATGGGAAATATCTACTTTCCGGGAAAGTTGGTTATCTACTTTCCCGAAAAGTAGATAGATTTTCTACTTTTCGGGAAAGTAGATTATCGACTTTTCGGGGAAGTAGATTTTCGAATTTTGGGGGAAATATTACCTAATTTTGCGAAGTAGATTATCATAGAAAACGGGAAATTTGTATCATAAAAAATGGGAAATATCTACTTTCCGGGAAAGTTGGTTATCTAATGAGAAATATCTACTCTCCGGGAAAGTTGGTTATCTACTTTCCCGAAAAGTAGACAGATTTTCTACTTTTCGGGAAAGTAGATTATCGACTTTTCGAGGAAGTAGATTTTCGAATTTTGGGGGAAATATTACCTAATTTTGCGAAGTAGATTATCATAGAAAACGGGAAATTTGTATCATAAAAAACGGGAAATATCTACTTTCCGGGAAAGTTGGTTATCTACTTTCCCGAAAAGTAGATAGATTTTCTACTTTTTAGGAAAGTAGATTATCGACTTTTCGGGGAAGTAGATTTTCGAATTTTGGGGGAAATATTATCTAATTTTGCTAAGAAGATTATCATAGAAAACGGGAAATTTGTATCATAAAAAATGGGAAATATCTACTTTCCTGGAAAGTTGGTTATCTACTTTCCCGAAACGTAGATAGCTTTTCTACTTTTCGGGAAAGTAGATTATCGACTTTTCAGGAAGTAGATTTTCGAATTTTGGGGGAAATATTACCTAATTTTGCGAAGTAGATTATCATAGAAAACGGGAAATTTGTATCATAAAAAACGGGAAATATCTACTTTCCGGGAAAGTTGGTTATCTACTTTCCCGAAAAGTAGACAGATTTTCTACTTTTCGGGAAAGTAGATTATGGACTTTTCGGGGAAGTAGATTATGGACTTTTCGGGGAAGTAGATTTTCGAATTTCGGGGGAAATATTACCTAATTTAGCGAAGTAGATTATCATAGAAAACGGGAAATTTGTATCATAAAAAACGGGAAATATCTTCTTTCCGAGAAAGTTGGTTATCTACTTTCCTGAAAAGTAGATGATTTTCTACTTTTCGGGAAAGTAGATTATCGACTTTTCGGGGAAGTAGATTTTCGAATTTGGGGGGAAATATTACGTAATGTTGCGACGTAGATTATCATAGAAAACAGGAAATTTGTATCATAAAAAATGGGAAATATCT